AACCTGCACATCTAATCATGACGTGATTACACACAACACACTGTTCTGGCGTGCACGTCTCCCTTTGTTCAAACCTGCACCTGAAAATAGGTTTAGATGTTACCCAGTCTCTGTCAAGGGACAGGCTATGAAAAAAACTAATTCAATGCTCGTCTATAGGAAAGTTCGGATACTGTTCAGCCATTACAGCCCCAGCCGCCACCACCTGTCGAACAACAAAAACGTCAATTTTTGTGTTGAAACTCTCAGGAGCACTCTAGTGAGTGACTTTTGAATATGGCATCCATTTTATGTACAGGAACCTTTTGACGCCAAACCAGCGCCGATATTGTGCCCAGTTTCGCTGAAAGAGCGCGAAACAAGCTGGGGTGGTTATGCGTAACGTCATATCCGTGAACAGGGCACCGATGATCCCCATACGTAAAGGTATGTACAGCACTTGTGGGAAACAGATGTTGGGTGCAAAACTGCAAAAATTAGCGCTAGCGCCGGAATGAATGTGGCAGTCACTATAATGGCACTGTAGTACTCCTATAGACATTTTTTCCTGGGTTTTGGACTTATAAGACTTGACAAGTGGCAGGTGAATGTAATAGATAGCAGGTGAATAGTTAAAGATAGTTAGATATAGATGCCATCTGATTTTCTCGCGCCCACTTATAGTTACTGTCAGCTGCCGGGGGTGTGGTTCACTAGGACAGAAAGCGACTTTTTCGCGTTTCGCAGCGCGAAACATTTTCCGCTGCGGGAACCTCAGGTCCACCGCTGATCATCAGTGGACCCGAGGTTCCCGCAGCGAAAATGTTTCGCGCTGCGAAACGCGAAAAAGTCGCTTTCTGTCCTAGTGAACACACCCAGCTACCGGGTCACGGTACGCGTAACTGTCGCAGAGTCGTCGTATTCGTCGCATAAAGCAATGCCTCCAAGTTAGGTCAATGCACACAGGCAAATCAGGTGATTAGCTTTTCTTCCGAGCAGATAACCCTTCGTACGGCTGCTCTCGCCTATAGCCTCGGGCCCGACACAAGGAGGCCGTCGCAGGTTTAGTCAAACTAAGTTGGATTTGGGCACTATTTACCCTTTACTGCCCCACTCCTCAAGAACTGAGCCGGATTTTGATCGAAATTCGTCCATGACTGTGGATTTTGCTAGAAACTTGCCTTCAGGGGTAATTTGACCCGTAGATCACGAATATAATACCGGTTTAGAGCGAAAACGCTTGGCGCCCGCGCCACAGGCGCCGGCGCTATCACAACAGTTTTGCGCGGGCGCTCGTAGCGCAGGCTACAGGTTCACTCGTAACAAACTGATGTGATAATCATATTCTACGGGTCAAAATACCTCTGAGGACAACTTTCCAGCGAATTTGGGGATCCGAGATGTTCTGGCGCCTTTTGGCGCCGGCGCTTCTGACGCGAGCGCCAGGCGTTCTAGCGGTAAACAAATGTGATATTCGTGTTCTACGGGTCGAATTACCCCCGAAGACAAGTTTCTGGCCAAATTCACAGTCAATGACCAATTTCGATAAAAATCCGGCTCAGTTCTCGAGGAGTGGGGCAGTAAAGGGTAAATAGTGCCGGACTTGTCGTGACTTCCGTACGACTCCACCTAAAGGGTCGCGCCTGGTCGGGTGTGCGCGGGTCCTGGCGCGCCCGCGCTGTCGAAGTCTCTCGAAGAACGTCAGGGACGCAGAGTGCACGCGCCCTCGCCTGTCTTCAGTCTACGTGCTGCCGCCGTCGAGTGTAGCCGCTGGCCGTTGCTGTCTGTCGTCGCCACTTGTGCTCCAGTGTTCGTACGTCAACGAATGGTTCCGGGCATGGATGCCCGTCGAAGAACATCGGAGCCGAGCCACGTCATCCCCGCGTAAGAAGCACTTCTGGGTTCGACCCGTGAGTCTAGGTGTAGTAGCCGTATTATGTTGTAGTTGTTTATTTTTCATCGTAGTTTCCAAGATCATATGAATCTATGGTATATTTTCTTGTAGTGTTTAAATCGTAGCGGTTGATCCGCACTAAACTATCTGTTTATTAATATGACTAGAGTGTTCATAGTCGGCATAACGCTCGTAGGTCCGGGTCCATAAATTCCTCGTAGCTACCAAGTTATCGGGACAATAACATCTCGGCGTAGTCCTAGGTATTGCAATACGTACGTAGGGTTATGGCGTACTGCCAGTCGGGGCTGCTCAGGCCTATTAGGTGTCCGCGTGGCATAGTGGCGGGCAGCGAGCGCGGCGTAAGTCCCCGTAGCTACCCTCACGCCGACACCGACGCCGCTCCTTCGCCGGGTGAACCCCGATGCTTATGCGACTAGCGGGGAGCAAGGCGTCCGTGCCGGGCGCGACAACTTCCTTTCCATTTTCGTGGAACGTGCATCGATTCAAGAACATCTTTGAGCACACGTGATACCACCTTTTCATCGACAAAGTAGCCACGTGTGCCAATGCCACGTCAGTTTCTTCTGCAATTGCACAATTTCTGGTCATTTGAAGGCGAGGGTATTTGTGGGAGGGTTTTGCGTATTTTGAGCGCTATCGTTGCTCTTTGGGAAGTTTGAAATTCTTGTCCCGAACGCAGATCTTTCTTAGTCTTAGCTGGAGATGCGACCAATAACCCTGGAAATCATGTTAAAGGCACAACCCAGAATGACTTCAGATGGATGAATTCTTCCAGGGGATGAAATAGAGCTCTTCATGAAGGAAACAGATGACTCGTTTTCCTAGCTCTGAAGTGTGCCAGCAAGGGCATAAAGGCCTTAAAGTACCGCTGCAGCCGCATCCAAATTATCGTCCGTGGCATGCTGGCATCTGGCGCCTTCTCATCCAGGCGCTCTTTCACCTACTCTCCTCAGCACTAAGACGTGAGGTAAGCAAACCAGCCCTTTTGGCGTTTCGGCTGGGACCGTATGCTGAATGTTGGGGAGGGGATGGGGTCCCCAACGGTCGACGGTTTACTTCAACTCGGTTGGTACGATAGGAGAGTACTGACGCAAGTGGTGCAGCTGGTCCAGCAGCTCCGCCAGAAGGGCTGGTTTGCTCACCCAGGACTAAGCCTTGGAGAGGGGACGGACCCGTCCTCTCTTGGCTTAGTTCTGAGGTAAGCACCAAATTGTGGCGGTTCTAAGGACCGAGTTGAAGTGGTCCGTCCACCGTCGGGGACTCCATCCCCTCCCCAACATTCAGCATACGGTCCCAGCCGAAGCGCCAAAAGGGCTGGTTTGCTTACGTCCTAAGAAGTGTCACATGCCTGATTGTTAGCAAAAAGAAACGAGGCCCTTCACTCTGAGGTTTTCGACAGATTCTTATCCTTTTTGTTCACTGTCGCTCCATTCGTACTAATACTTCATTTTCGCGCACAAAAACCACGCCAGCTTGACCCTGGGTGCCTGGCGTAGCACATGAAAAGTGAGACCACAAAACGACCCTTATTTGAGACAATTATTCGATTGTTCCTTTCAGCGTGAAAACACGTGACGTTTTAATTGCCCTTACAGGAGGACATCTCGACTTTATCGCTTGGACAAATGAAATAGTGTTCTAAAAGAGGAGACGTAGAGTGTCAGAGAATGCAGTTTCCTCGGCTCTGCTGAAAGGGCGGGTAACCATTTTTGCAATGAGCAGTAGGGTACAGCCTCTTGGTGAGCCACTTATAGTATTTCACGTGTCTTGGAAAAAGTTCAAAATATTTATTTGTCCAAAGCTGCGGTTTTCATATTGGTTAGAATGTTCTCTCATTGGCGAGGAACATCAGACCTTCAGCTACGTAGAACATTATCCTTGATATGACTTGTAAGGTTTCAACTCTTCTTCCGAATAAGCTTGCGAGAAAGATTGTATTACTACCCACGTTTGCAAAAGTACCGAAAAAGCGAAGAAGGGATGCCTGAATGGAAAATATACAGTAACTGCCCTTCACTTTCAATGACACCGGCATGATCTGGGAGGTGGGAGCCATTTGGAGAAGGACGCTATCGCAAGATATGAGGGCATCCCCTTGGAATAAGTTTCGGAGTGGCAAGGGCTCCTGGTATAATGGAAGCTGCTCAAACATCTGGAGTCCTCCTGCCCTGCCCGAGATTTGGCCCCATTTAAGAAAAAAAAGAGAAGTTTAACGTAGTTTAAAGTCACTGCCATCTTAATGCCCCCGTATCTTGCGATAGCGCCTAAGCAAGTCCTTGATAAGGGATCGGGACCCACAAACACACCCCTTGACAACCGCTGGTGCGTGTCGGTCGCAGCGCCAAAGTATCATTACTCCACAGTCTTCGACCTCCTCCATGGGCCTTTTATGAAATGCGCGGGCAACAATCATTTCGCCGCAGCGCGGCGCATGGGGAATTCCAATGGTAAACCCAGCGAACGTGCGAGAAAGCAGGGACGCGGCGCTCCCGGACGATCGCAAAGCGTATGTGTACGTACTACTCGTACCTTCGTTTAAATTAACGCAAGGGAGCGCCACGAATCGACTGGCGTCGTCGCGCTGCCGGCGTCAGTCACTCGCGCGGCGTCGCAAAGCGGTAATTTTCCGAAGAGCGCGGAATTTCTGAATTGTTGCGGTTGAGCAGCTGATTGAAGTAGAATATCGAAGGGACAGCCTGTCTTGGCGTCCCTTGTAACATTCAAGCTTCAAATGACGCTATCAGCAAAAACTCGTCCACTGCACTTGAGACGTCGCGGCCACGACCGGTAGCGCGGGGATACGGACGATCCTGTTGACATACACCCCGGATGGCACGAGTTGCCTACAATACGCGTTGCGACTCGCTCCTACTGAACCGCCTTACGTCTCGAATCTTCTGCCAGCCGCGCGCGGGCTATCCTTCGCGTACCCGCGAAGTCGGGGGACCCTATTGCCACCCGTCTGTCTCCAAACAAAGTGTAATATACAACTGCGGTCGATACGGATTTTACATCACAACTTTCTTACTACCGTATCCTTTTGCATTACCTGATAAAACTCATTGTCGGTTTGCGTTGGATTCATGCAAACAGAACCAGACGCGACGACAAGAAGGCACGCTGAACCAAATGAACATGCGTGCAGAAACACCAGAAACGGAATCGAGGCGGATAATTCGGCAAAAAAGATATATGAAAGGGTACAGTAGAACATTGTTCCAAACATAGATAATGCTATTGACCATTCTTCAATAAGGTGGCTGAAACAACAATTGTGATTCGTGGGCTATTAGGCAGCATTCAGACTTAGCGATTACAAATGGGGATCAGGCGACTAGGTGATGATTTAGGCCGATGTCAGACTTTGCGAGGAACGATTCGTTTGCGTTGCGATCGTGTCGCGTACAGTAAACGGCTCGATTCGGTATACGCGACGCGACCGCAGACGCATAGCAAATGCGCTGTCGCTTCGCAATAGTTTTACAGATTACGAAGGCCTTCGGCGAGTCGGCATAAGAGAAGGATACATACTGGTTTGTTGCTCCGCCCATGAGCGATCGCCTACTCGCCTACTCGCCTAGTCGCTAATCGCCTAATCGATACGTATCCCTTTCCTTACAGACTAATTGCCTAGTCGCCTATTCGCATGTACGATCGCCAACTCTGAACGCTGCTTTCAATTACCGATCACTCCTGTTGCATCTGGTGAAGAAGAAACCAGCAGAAATGTCAAAAAGCGCCCGTCTTTTCGTACTGAGCGATCGATATCTATCTTTTTCATGCGACCCATAGGGAGATCTTCAAGATAACTTCAAGGCAAACCCAGAACTCACTAGAACGAGTAAAGATACATGCAGTTGCCTAACGTAACCAGTGTATAGCCAATAACCATGGCTTCCCATGAGGATTTTGAAACGAGTAAGTATCGAGACATCGCTGAAAAGAGGGAACGGAGGAACTGAGGATTCCCACATAATGATACTACAGTAAACCATACCTAAAATGGCGAATGAGGCCGCTGTAGCGAATCGTGCCCGTGGTTGCATTGAAGACGTTAATGACAAGAATGAAAGCGTTATTAATGGCAAACCGAACATCATCGACGATGTATGCTAAAACTACGCAGGTATAGTTGCGCAGGTAGGTGGGCGGGGCGCTCCAGGGAGTGACCAGGAAGCTCCGCCCACATTTTCCGCTCGTGTTTTTTGAATTATCGGGTTGACAGGAAGACGTCTGCCAGTGACTGACCTGTCTGAAACCATCAGTCTCCACATACACAAGGAAAGTTGTACCGCCGTAGACTGCCAGTAAACGAGCCGATCCTACGTCATTAATGATGCCGTCATTCATGATGCCGACTGCTGTTCAAGCAAGTGTGTTAGTAAATGAGGCTTACTCCCTTTAATTATCGCTACTTTCCAGTGTTAGTGTCGGATAGATGAGGATAATCTTAATGGCACCCATGTAAACAACAGCTATCGATTAAACGCGCGCAAAATCGATAATCATTCCAGAGCACATTAGCTAATGGTACGGGATGAAATTGAGAAGGCAACCTTCGTGAACAGAACTTGATGGCACAGTGTTTCGATATACAGAGCTTTCCTGTTCAGACATCGAATCCAGACCAAGTCTCCATCCGTCCTACATGGACAAGTTAATAGCCTGGTGAGGCTACTTAGCGCGTTATTCGAGCACTGAAGTGACTTCGATTTGCAGCGCTCAGGCGAGGGACTGGTCCAAGGCAGCCTAATAAAAACTTCCACCACGTTAAAGGCAAAGTTCGGGCTCAGACCCACCTAAGAAGCCCTTACCATGGCTAGAAGTGCTGGGTACGCAAGTGCAAAGGTAGCGCCACCTTTCTACATCGAAACGCGTCACTAGGACCCTAGGCGCCATGGACTTCTAACAGACTCCACCAAACTTAACATGGTCCGCCCACCGTTCGATATCTTGTCTGCGTCGCTGCGTTGATCTGCTATGCTCTCTCTTCTCGGACTTCTCTACCACTCTCCGCGCTCACATTATCTCTCATCTCCCTGCCTGTCTTTTGAACTTCTCCACAGCATAGAGCAAAATGCTCGTATTTCCTGTGCATTTCAGGATTTTCTTTCCTTTTTTCTCCATTGGCGGTTCACCCCCCTCCCCCTCCTTCCCTCTTTTGTTTTAAA